TGATACAAACTTGTCCATCTTCCCTTGCGTCATCATCTTCAATCAATGCCTTGTGTAGGAATCTATAAAATTGCAATCTGTCACGTCAGAAATTTCTTCTAGAGGTGGGGGGAAAAACAACAAGAGAATCCAGTATAGAGTTTAATAAATAAACCCAAATTTAACTTTTGACCTAAAAATTTAAATCATCAAGTTTTGAATGCACCTTACTAATTAAAGTGTTCTTTATCCATCCCTGAATGATTATTACTCTGCTTGAATTTTCACGTTCCGTATAGATTACACTTTAAAATAAAAATTCAAAGTAAACAATCATTTCGGGACAGAGTACGTATTAATTACTTTTTGTAAATTGTGTGGATTTTAAAGAGTTAGCTATGAGTTTTAAATGAAGTATCTAAATAAACAAAGTTTACTCACTTGAACTGCTGAGCGCCCGAATGAGGAAGAACACCTTGAATCTCCACATCATCCAAAAAAATTTCTGGAGAAGTGTATCTCCAATTCCTAGCTGCTTTTATGAACACCTGACCAATTCTCGAAAAGGGTTTTCCTCGTCTTTCATCAATACTAATAGCGTGGAATCGATATGTGAAAGTACCAAGAAGAAACCATACTAATGCAAAGACCATGACCAAACATGGAATTCCAAATCCAAGACTCCAACTTATGTAATCTTGAATGTAAGTCAAGATTAATAACGTAAGCGTGATGGCGAAACAAGTACCAACATTGCACCAATTGAAGAATGAGCCCTTGGCTTTACATTCTTCTGTATTTGATTCATCAAATTGATCAGCTCCAAATGCATGAACACAAGGCTTGTGCATTCCTTGTGCTATTGCCATTAGATATAACGATAAGAAAAATGTGATAACTTGAAGCTGAGAAGGAGGACATGGAATGATGCCATTTGATTCACTTCTGCAGCTAATAGAACTGAATGAGGGAATTATAGCAGAAAGTGTCAGGAGTCCAAGTGCCTGTGAAGTTCATGCAGGTTATTTTGTGGTAATTGAAATGTATAAGTCCACGTAAGTTTTTTCTTTCTAAAAATGGCAAAAACGGAAAAACAAAATAAAAGGACCTATTGGCAAAAATTACTACAGTTTTCTCATTAGGTTATTATGAAGGATAGCTGTACAAAATACAAAATCCTTACAACGGGTAATGAAACTCTGAATTTATGCATAAGGACTCAATCGTTAATAAACTGAGGATTTTCATAATAGGACTATAGAAAATCAAGATTGAGTTTCTTCTTGTTATATTTTATTTTACGAAAAATCGTCTTTTCCTTCACTTTCTTTTTACCCACCAGTTGATCTCATTAGCTTGACGTGCCATTTTTTTTAAAAAAAAAAAATTAATTAGTGATGTTAACCTCTCTAATAATTTGATAAAAAAAATTTGGAATAAGAGAGAACCATTAACACTAAAACAAATGAGGAAGGGACAAACTTTATAAATTACTTGTACAAATTAATGAAACAAGGATAACTTAAAGAAAAAGGGTCGTGACCACCAATCAAATTCTAGCCTTTCTAGATAAGGGTATCATTAGAAGTTGACAAATACTTTTTTATTATTACATTTTAACACAATTTCAAGCTTATATGACTGGTTTAAGAAGCATAAACTACGTTGACATTCTCATAATCCTATTAGTTTTGTTCCCAATATGTAAAGAACGGGAAGCTTATATTCTTTTTATGGAATTTCTCGCTTGTACGCCTTTCTCTCATCCTAAGGAAACTAAGGAACATAGATGCTTTGATACTTGATAGGGCTAGGAGGAAGGAATTGTTTTTAGGTCGAGATTATAGTTCAAACCTTCAAACCATTCAATATATATATATATATATATATATATATATATAATTGGCAATAACTTGTAATGCAAAAGGGAAATTGAACTTTTTAACATAAATGAGCAATATTTACAATCGAACTTCAAGATTTAATGTACATTTTAATTTTCTTTCTTTCTCTTTTTCCGACCAAAGGGAATATAAGATGGAAGCAACGGTTTCCTTATTACATTTCAAAATAAGATTCAGGTTTGTTATGACAAGCCCTTTTATCATCCATTTCTAAAAATGTTTTCAAATTACTGTATTCTTTTTGCATTCTGTAATCTTGTAAAATATTTTTGTTACAGAAAAATAGTCTAATTTATTAAATGAAAACAATATAACAAATTGTGCTATCGTTTTGTAGTTTTGGGTTAGATTGACTCACGAAAACATGCAAGAATTATAAAAATGGCTCTAACTAATCCCTAAAATTGGCTACAATCATATACGGAGTATAAAAATGTATGAAGGCTTTTAATCTAACAATCTTTTTTCTTTCACTAGTTTCTTTTTTTTTCAAATAATTGGATTTCATTCTAAAATGAAAAGAGAAATTATAGTTTTTTTTCCAAACAAGACGGTCACTTTCAAAAGGGTTAAATGCAAGGAGAAAGAACTTTTAACGGGGAACCTGAAGGATTTTGGACCAATTTAATTTACTCAAAAAAAAAAAAAAACACTTTTGTTTCTTAACAAGGAAGCTGCAAGCAGTATATACTAACCAGGATATAAAGCACAGAAGCAACGACAACGGAACGGTACCGGCCGAGAAACGAGTCCGACACAAAAGCACCAAATAACGGCATAAGCATGGCGGTTCCCGGCCAAACATTAATGTTCTCCGCCGCGGTGACGGTGGATTGACCAAGTGGTCCGGTCAAATAAGTGATCAAATTCGCACTTACACCATAATAAGCAAAGAACTCCGCCATCTCCACCACTTTTATATATACAAAAGCAAATTTGCATTACTCTAACATTAATTAATTGTCAAGAATTTAAACACTACTGACAAGGGGGAAAAAAAACTTGCATTTTCTTTTGGGATGAAAATAACATTTCCGTGCTTAGATATGTGATATGTTTATGAGCTAATAACGGGAAAAGATTTGCTTGATATTTATACCTATAATGAAAGAAGCAGAAAACCATCCACCGGACTTGGATCGCTTGGCCGGACGGCCTTTGTAGTCTACGTTTTGTTCAACAAAATCACCGTCCGTTTCCGACAACAATGGAGTTTGGACGGCCGGAGAAATGTTCCGTTGGGCAGCCATGACTTCAACACGTACTAGCACAACCCTTTGTGGGGTTGTTATTGGGGAACAGTTGGATTTTATTTAATTCCTTGTTTCCCCTTTTGGTGGGAGCCAAAGAGTTGAAGATGAACATAAGAACGGAAATTATTCCTTGTACAATCAAATAATTGATAATTTTTTATGTAGAGCCTGCTCGTTGAATTAAGGAAAATAAAAATAAAATAAAATACACAAACTTCTACGTGCAAGTAACCTAAGAAATTGGAAGCGGCGCCAGCTCGGCCAAATGTATTTTCTTTAATTGAAATGCTTTACATTACTATTTATAAAAAAAAAAATTTGAGTTGAACAGTCTCCACGGCCAGGAAACACATGCACGCACGCACAAAAAGAAATAGGAATAAATCCATGATTAGACGCTAATGACTTGTTCATGTTGCAACTAGACTTATTCTTAATGACTTCAAATGATGTATTACAACTTGACTCGGATAACATTCCTGCATATTGTATTATACATGCACTTAAAACTTATTCTTGTAGAAAAAAACAAAGTAAGAAGAATTAGTACCTTCAAATTGCATAAAAGAACGATCAATTAAGACGAATGTGATGCAAAGACAAAGAACTAATCAAGAATATAGGGAGGCTTTTCTTAGACTTTCTATAATTAATTTAAGTTGAATCTAAAAGTGATCAATATGACTAATACAAAGTGAATATTAAGTTCCATTATATGAACTTGTTACGAACATATTTTTTTTTTATAGAAAAGTATACATTAGTAGATAATCAAGTTAGGTGCTACCAAAATTTAAATCTATTATTATTCTTACCAAAACTTAGTAGCGCATAGGCGTACTATATAATGCGTTGATAATAAACTGTACTTGGCTTTGTAATTAATTATTACCGCATGGTTTGAAACATTGTCTTTCTCTTTTGAAAAGGAAAAAAGAGATTGTAGTCTTGGTGGCTATTGAAATGTAAAATGTCAGCGGTGTTAGTCTTGCTTCTGAAATGTCCACAAGAAGATATGAGTTTACTTTAATGCACGTTTGGCAAGTTGCAGTTTCGAATTTGGTTTAGTCCCAATTAATTGGCGTCATTGAGCTTTTTTTTAAAAAAAAAAAAACAAAAAAAACTGAATATCTCCTCGTTTTGGAAATTTCGCACGCAATCAATTTGTACACCATCCTACGTATCGCACGAAGGAGGTAATGATATCACACAACATATGGACATCACCATAATCGACTTTATCGATTCAATCGGTCTAATTTTTCACTTTATTTTTTAAAATTTTGTTTTATAAATACATTTATGTTATTTTATCAATTTATTCGCCCCAATTTATGACGTTTTATAGTTTGCAAATCTTCGGTAAAATTAAAAGATAAGGCCAAAAAGTTCCTTCAGAAGACACTTCCTCCTAATGGAAAACCATTTTTTTCGATCAAATGCTTATATTGATGTTGTGATCATGTCAACGGTAAAAAAAGGATGGTCAATGAAATAATAAATGGGAGACATTATCCGAATCCTAGAGTAGTGATTCACATAATAATATTCTCCCTTTGAAAAAAACATACTAGTAATATTCTTATCACAAAAATTAGCCAAGATATTATCCACAACCCAAAAGTACTATTTATTAAACTTATAATACAATTAGCAGTATTTATAAGCGGAGATAATTAAAAGATAAGATCAAATTAGTATCAATTAGTAGTAATAAACCTTAATACTTCATTTGAATTCTTGTAGATATAGAATCGAATTACAATTCTTAATTTTTTCAATGGCCTTATGCCCCAAGAAATCCACCACTTATAAATTCTACAGCAATGGAGGATTGGAGCTCGATAACAAAACATCATATCCTCTAAGATATTCTTTTAAGCCATTATCTCGTTTGCCTTTTCTTAAAAATTTTTTTTTTCCCTAAACTAAAAACCAATCTCTTACCAACCTCCCAATAACCAACAATGGCCTCAAACAGCAACAGTGGCTTGGTCGTTTGCTTCGGCGAGATGCTCATCGATTTCGTCCCGACGGAGTCCGGTGTATCGCTGGCGGAGGCTCCCGGATTTCTAAAAGCAGCCGGTGGTGCTCCCGCAAACGTGGCTATTGCCGTGAAGAGACTAGGCGGAAGATCGGCTTTTGTCGGCAAATTGGGTGACGACGAGTTTGGCCGGATGCTGGCCGGAATTTTGGAGGAGAACGGTGTCTCAACCGTCGGCGTCAACTTTGACAAGGGTGCAAGAACCGCATTGGCGTACGTCACCCTCCGATCTGACGGTGAGCGCGAGTTCATGTTCTACAGAAACCCTGGTGCTGACATGTTGCTTACGCCCGAAGAATTAAACCTGGATCTACTCAAGTCCGCGAAAATCTTTCACTTTGGCTCCATAAGTTTGATCGTTGACCCATGCAGATCGGCTCATATCAAAGCTATGGAAGTTGCAAGAGAAAGCGGAGCTCTCCTTTCATACGACGTAAACCTTCGCGAACTCCTCTGGCCATCTAAAGAGGAAGCTCGGAAACAAATCTTGAGCATATGGGATAAGGCTGACATTATCAAAATCAGCGATGTAGAACTACAATTTTTGACCGGAAGTGACAAGATCGACGACGAATCGGCAATGTCACTATGGCGTCCGACCTTGAAACTCTTGTTGGTAACCCTAGGAGAGAATGGTTGTAATTACTATGGAAAGAGTTTTATGGGTCACGTCGATAGCTTCCGTGTGGATCAAGTTGACACCACCGGCGCCGGAGATTCGTTTGTCGGAGCCCTATTGGGAAAGGTTGTCGATGATCAAGGCATTCTTGAAGATGAAAAGAGGTTGAGGGAAGTTTTGAGGTTTGCATGCGCTTGTGGAGCCATCACAACCACGAAGAAAGGTGCAATTCCATCGCTTCCAACTCAAGATCAAGTTTTCAGCCTCATGAAGAAAGGATGCTAGAATTTTTCAGTTAGATAAATATATATATATATATATCTATATATATATATATATAATCATTCGCATTGTTGCCTTGTTTAATTATCTTGTTTTTAATTTTTTTTCCTATTTAATTTTAAACTTTTTTTGGAGTGTTTAGTCCTAAAACTAGTAGGATTATCAAGTTGCTTCTCATCTTGCTGATGGGATTTTGGTTATCTAATGATTCTTGTTTTATAGGAAAAAAAAAACAATGATTCCTTTTCTATTCATCGGAATTCTAATGTTTATGCCAATTAATACTACCTTTGTCCAAAAGAAATAGTTCAAACTAAGTTTGAAACTTTGTACTAAAACTAGTACAAATACACCGGAGGAGATTACCAATTTCATTCTTTGTTTTTATCTCAAAATAATAATTCTAATCTTCAAATTAAGCTCTATTTTCGTAGGTTTATAGCATAAACTTTATTTTATTGAAAATGCATATACTAAAATTTAAAGTAATGAATTTCAGTATTAATTCTTGATAAGCAAATCTTTTGTTTCTGTGTTAAAAATGTTGTAGAATTATGAGTATAAAAAGAAAGTGACTTTTTTTTCTTTTTTGGTTAATTAGAAGGAAAGTGACTTCAAGTCAAACAGGTTGGAAAACTGCTAGAGAAGGGACCCACATAATCTTCTGGTCAATTTGTGGACCCGCCGAGTTTTTCACTGCATATAAAAGAAATTAGACTGATAATAATCTTCTGTGAATTTGTGACCGACGGAATTTCACTGGAAGAAAAGAAAACTAAACTGATTCCGCCATAGATAATTGTTGTGAGACGGTGGTGGGTCACAATAATAAGAATTGAAAACATGTTGGTTGGCGTTTATGAATGGAGGGACCGAAAGAGATTTATCTGTCTGTTGGGACATTTTTCTGATGTTCAGTTATGGCTTCTGCTGCTGAAGAGTGAAGACGATGATAATTCGTCGGCAAGCATTTCAGAAGCCAACGTCGAGACCCCATTACTATGGTATCATGAAACTGTGGAAGGATATGTGGATCACAGAGGCCGACCCGCAAGCCGATCCGAATCCGGTGGATGGGGCTCAGCTTCCTTCATCATCGGTACTAAATGAGTAAATTCATTTCACATACCAGATAATTTGAGTCTTTTGTTTTGGGGTTATCAATTTACATGTTTTTTTCCTTTTGTGGAGATAGCTGAGAGATTTGCATTTTATGGCATAAATGCGAATTTGATTACTTACTTGACCGGCCCACTTGGCCAATCCACCTCCACGGCGGCGGAAAACGTGAACCGGTGGTATGGGAGGGCTCTGCTTCTGACGTTGTTGGGTGCTTTTGTTGCGGATTCCTTTCTCGGCCGTTACCGCACCATTATTGTTGCTTCTGTTCTCTACATTTTGGTACGCTGTATTTTTACTCTGTGCTTTTAGCCTTTTCTACATTTTTTTTTTTTTTTTTTTTTTTATCTACTGTTTCCGGATTAATATGGTTTCCCTGTTGAAGTCGATAGATACTCGTGCAATTTAACTTGATTAAAGTTGGAATGAGAAGAACAAATTTGTGAATGATTCGCATCATAGTGTTTGGATCCACTCATACTATCTGCGCATAGCTTACAAGACCGGGTTATTGGATCATAGAAAAATGATAAATGCTGATTATGAAACCAAATAATTTTAAGTTAAGACCTTATCAATAAAATTGTTGGTGAATAATATCTGTAATCGAGGAATTTGTGTGTCTAGTCCAGAATTGGTGTTCTGCAGTTGTGTTTCTGAGTAGTAAAATCTTTTGTTTCAGTTCTTTCTCTTTTTATAAGCTCTATGATTGTTTTAGAGAGAACTTATTCTTTAACAAATTAACTGTTAAAAATATTTTTCAAGAACATTTTGTGAATGCTTTCTGATTCATGCCTGTTGTTAGATGATCCATTGACTGGGGAAGCGTTGCAAGTTTTCCTTGCTATTGGAACAATGTCAGTGTATGTTGAATGTTTCAGTTATAAGCGTAAATGTTGGCTTTATAGTAACCCTTAATTGTTTGAAATGTGCAAATGTTACTGTCAATGTTTATGGCTGATGTTTGAGTGTTCCGTGCTGATAAGGCACTTTACGTTTCTGATACTTCTTGAAAACCAACCTGCTAACGGATACTTTCCTGATCTCTACAACTGTCTTGCAAATTATCATGGTTCTTAAGGATTAGCCTTGTAGTGGGACGGAAGGAAGTCAAACATGTATTGAGCTAACCTCAACTTTGACATTTTCCATATGAACTGCTAACAGTTACAAGAATAGAGTGGAACTATATATCTTGGTTTATGAAAGCATTTCAATCTACAAAAAAATAACAATTGAAAGGGAGAACAGGGTAACAGTCTGTTCAACTTGACATTAGTTTTCAAAATACTTGTGGATGAAGTTGATTGTCATTTCTCTTTTAATGGATTCATATTGTCTGTTGTTTGCCGTGAATCCTAGGCGCTTGGCTTTCTAACCCTCTCAGCAATCATGCCCTCCCTGGAATCGTCCAAGTGTCAGGATGTCTCGAATATCATTGCATGTTCTCCTTCACACCTCCAAATCATTATCCTCTACATTTCATTATATGTGACAGCGATAGCCTAAGGGATGCATAGGCCTTGTGTCCAGGCTTTTGGAGCTGACCAATTTGATGGACATGACCCTAAAGAAGTTAAAGCCAAGAGTTCCTTCTTCAACTGGTGGTGTTTTGCTATGTCTGTGGCAGTGGCAGTCACATCAGTGGTTCTAACATATATTCAAGAAAATTTTAGTCGGGCCCTAGGATTTGGAATCCCCTGCCTTGTCATGGCTTTTGCACTAATCTTATTTTTGTCGGGTACTATGACTTACCGATTTCGTGTCAGTTACAATGAAAGGAGCCCTTTTATGAGAATTTGCTGCAAGTTTATTGAAGCAACCAGAAATTGGAGAGGCTCCTCTTCTGCCATTTCTAGGGAGGAGGGTGATCAGGCTCCGTCTCCCTCAGATTCTCTAGAATGCAAGTGAGTAATGATCTATCTATGTGCTTTTGGGTTTTGGCAATAGTGACTACTCCGAACAGTTGTTACTTAGATAAAACTTGTTAGCTTTTTAACATCTCATGTTGTGTATTGATTTACATGCTTTACATATGACTCTTTGAGGTGTTAAAGGATTGACAAGTAAAATGGTTGCCAGACAGTTCCCACTAAATATATGTGGCACGTGGTTAGGGATCTATCTCCTTCCCTGAACATCTGTGTCATTTTTGTAGGTTCCCTGACAAAGAAGTCATAGCGTCTGATGGTTCGAAAGAAGGATGGGACGTTTGTAATGTCAGCAAGTTTAAAAAGGCAAATTCAGTTCGTCGGTTCTATCCAATATTAATTTCATGTTTGATTTATGGAATCATATATTCACAGTCATTGACTTTATACACCAAGCAAGGAGTTACAATGGACAGATCCATTAGTCCAAGCTTGCAAGTACCTGCTGCTTCTCTGCAATCCCTTCTTTATCTCTCAATACTATTATTCGTTGCTATCTACGACCGTGTTTTAGTTCCTTTTGCTAGAACAATAACTGGAAAATCATCAGGTATAACCATATTACAGAGGATTGGTGTTGGACTTTTTGTCTCAACCATCACCATGATCACAGCTGCTCTAGTTGAAAGAAAGCGTCTTGAAATTACTAAACAGTACGGGCTGGCTGACAAGCCAAAGGAAACTGTTCCTATGAGTGTTGTATGGTTGGTACCGCAATATATTCTGTTTGGTGTTTCTGAAGTATTTGTTATGGTTGGTATGCAAGAGTTTTTCTGTGATGAGATGCCTGCTGATTTGAAAAGCACGGGCCTTGCTCTATACCTTAGTATCTTCGGCCTAGGGAGCTTTCTTAGCAGCTTCATGATCTCTGTGATTGAGAAAGTCACCGGCAGGAATGGGCACGACGGTTGGTTCTCCGATAATCTGAATAAGGGGCACCTCGATTACTTTTACTGGCTGCTAGCAATCCTAAGTGCTGTTGCATTTGCAGCTTTTCTTTTAGCCGCAAAGTCTTACGTCTACAATGGAAGGCACAGCTAGCAAAAGAATGGTTGAACATTGGAACTCTTTTCTGTCTAACAATGTTAAGCAAGAAGCTCAGCTTGCATTTTAGAAGCACCACAGTACCAGAAAGGTAACTGGCCAATGCCGGCCATTATCGAATTGAAGAAGAATCAAGGTGTTCTGTATTTACTTCTATAAACTGTACGTTGTTCTTTACAGATAGGAAAAGGCGAAAACCGCAATCTGTTCATTACTAAGACCAAATCACTACATATTGTATACGCTCTCCAATATGAATAGGAGAAGCTCATGATTTTCTTGTCCAATGCAATTAACATCTCTCAATGGACTTCCCATTTCCTACACGTTTAATTTTTTACAGTAATTTATTTCTGAACAGCAAAATGAATATTTGTACATACGTGGAAATGACATGGCTGTTTTACAATACTCCCGCGCAAAGCTCCAGATGAATGAACCAAATAAACAAACATGAATAGTGGTGAAATCTTGTATGGCGGACTATTGGTTCCAAAAATCTGGGCTTCATCCTTAATTCTTATACCTAGAATAAAGGAAATTGATGGTATTCAGAGAAAAGAGTTGACCTTTTCCAGAGAGAACTTTCCTGAGGTTCAGTCATGACTGATTGACTTCTGCTGATGATGATGTTGTCGCATCTGCCTGCATTTCAGAGGTCAACATCAAGACTCCATTACTGTCATATGATGATTCTGTGCAAGGATATATCCACTACCCGGGCACCCGCGAAACGATCTAAATCCGCAATTGGTGCTCTGTTGCCTTCATATTCTGGTAAGTTCTTTATTTGCAGTAGTGTTCTATAGTTTAGTACATGTACCTCAGTACATGTTGGGAGTTTCCGAAGTATTTGCTTATTGCTATGATTGGTTTGCAAGAGTTTTTCTATAATGAGATGCCTGCAGAATTGAAAACCACAGGTGTAGCTCTATATTTTAGTGTCGTGGGAGTGGGAAACATTCTTCGAGCTTCATGATCTCTCTGACTGAGAAAGCAACAAGCAGAAATGGACATGCTAAGTTGGTTCTCTGATAACTTGAATATGAACCTCTTTCAACTCTTGGCAAACAAACCAGCTTGTTTAATCCAAATTCTCACAGAAATGAAGGCATTTCAGAAAGAGGGTTTACAGTAGAAGAAAGTTTTACAATATTATAGTTGTTCAGTGGCCTCGCCTCTAGTGAGTTCATCCTGCTTCGATACTATGACATGTCCATTTTCTGTCATGCGCCTCGCACAATCGTAGTTTCATTCGATAATGGATTTTTTCTTTTACTGAGTAATTACTTAAGTTTCATAAGTTTTTTTTTTTTATTGCCAAGGAGGATAAATTATTTGAAAATACAATATTTGTTATGGATGAATTAATCCATATATCTGGTTGAACTAGCGATATCATGTATTAAAAATTTTAAATGTGATTTTTTCACTAGACATATCATTTTCCTACTATTGTTATGATCAAAGGCCAAATTGCAGATTTCCTGAATAAATAATTAACGATACAAAATCGAATCACCTTGAAACACAGACATCACATAAATGTAAATGAGGATAACACTAACATTGAACCGCAATTTCTTAGAAGAACAACAAGTGAGATCGAAAATGTGAAATATCAAATTAGTGAATTAATGAGTATTATAATTCGTCTCAAAGTTAGGTAATCAATTGTTATACCTAAACACGTATCTAATGCATAATAAAAGATAAAAATTTGGAATCATTAAAATAGTGGAGTCATAAATAATTAGCTAACGTTTAAAAGTGTGTATTAATCTTTTAATACTCATATGTTTAGTATCAATGGTTAGGTTTATTTATTATTATTATAATAAATACTATTTGATATCACCCAAATTATGGTTAGGTTTATTTATTATTATTATAATAAATACTATTTGATATCACCCAAATTAACAATCAAACTAGATTGATTTGTCCTTTAAAGTTTGCCGGCTTACTAATTAAACAATAACGAACGAAATCCTGTATCGTTTTCTGTCTTTGTTCTGGGGCCTCTGGGCATTGAAATTCAAAGCTTCAAGAACTACAAACATGTCAATCTACCAATCAATTATGATGTTGCCATGTAGTACAAGATATTTTCACCGATTCCTTTTTCCATTTTTGAAAGGTTTTTGTCATCTTTGTTTCATCCCCTGACCCTGAGGTTGCTGCAAATCGAAGAAAATAAAGTAGTAAAGAACTGAATTAGGCCAACGGGTTCGAAATTCGAATGCAGGAATAAGAATATTCCGATGTCTGCTCATGATGAACGATAAGCTAATAGTATAAAAGTGGTGGGAGAAAAACAGAGTTTAAAAGGGCAGTTTCTTCAAGTTCAGCCATGGCTGCTGCTTCTGCTGCCGATGATGATATTTCCATCTCCAATATTTCAGAAGCAAACGTCGAGACTCCATTGTTGGCGAGTAATAACGACGTTGTAGAAGGATACGTCGATTACAGAGGCCGACCCGCTAGGCGACCCGATTCCGGTGGATGGGGATCTGCATTCTTCATCATCGGTATTAAATTTGAACTCAAATCTTTTTTGCCGATTTAGGGTTTGTTTATTCATATGGTTTGAGTTTTTTTTTTTTTTTTTGGTTCTTTTTCTGGAACTAAGGGGTGGAGGTGGGAGAGAGGTTTGCATTTTATGGGATTAGTGCTAATTTGGTTACTTACTTGACGGGTCGACTCGGTCAATCCACCGCCACCGCGGCGGAGAATGTGAATGCGTGGTCCGGCGCGGCACAGCTTCTGCCGGTGTTGGGTGCTTTGATCGCCGACTCCTTTCTCGGCCGTTACCGTACCATAATCCTAGCTTCTGTTCTGTATATTTTTGTAAGTAGTATTTGTATTTTTGTACTCTGTGTTGAATAGTTTTATGCATTTGGCTAATTTGCTTTGTACATGCAGTAGTTGTTTTTACTTACGATATACTCACTCCAGTTCAAATTTTTAGGCACAAATTTGAATTAAATTTAGTTTTCATAGTATGTTCATAGTATTCTTGTCTTTCCTCTTTGTAACGTTGATACACTGACACACTCTGCTGAAGAATTTGTTCAAGATGTTGTAAACACTTAGGTTCTTTTTGGATTATTTTGTGTTTTTAAAGTTGAAAAATGTTGAATGAGTATAGGTTGATGATTTGTATGAGAGAATTGGAGAAATTATTAGCACAGGATAGATCCTTATTCTTGTAGAACTAAAATATTATGATGAGGAACAAGTTTTTTCTAACAAAATATTCCAATAGATGAAAAATGAGAAGATCAAAATTTTAGAATTTGCATTGGAAATCTTAGAAGGAAAATGGGAAGGAATAGTTGGGTGACTAGAACAAGATAACCGAGAGCACATGGAGCTGATTTGAAAAGCAAATTCAGTTATTTGTTTCGATTGTCAAAGCAACCTTTATATTCTTAGTTACTGAACTGCAACTAAATTATAGAGTTCTAATGATTAAGCATGATCTGAACTTTGATGATTTGATCAATGGTAATGTTTAACCTGAGTTGCCACTTTTGCTGCAAGATTCTTAGCAAGAACATTATTTTATTTGATGATATTGGCTGCCATGAACTACAGGGACTTGGTTTTTTGACCGTCTCAGCGATTTTACCCCCAAAGTTATCCAACTGCCGGGATACATCAAATGCGATGATATGTTCTCCACCTCAGATCCAAGTTATAATCTTTTTCGTTTCCTTGTATCTGGTGGCAATAGCTCAAGGGATGCATAGGCCCTGCGTCCAGGCTTTTGGAGCAGAACAATTTGATGCAGAAGATCCAGGAGAAGCTAAAGCCAAAAGCTCATTCTTCAACTGGTGGTCTTTTATTGTTAATATAGCCATTACAGCCACGTTCATGGTTTTAAGCTATATTGAAGAAAATCTTAGTTGGGGCCTTGGGTTTGGAATTCCCTGTCTAGTTATCGGTTTCGCATTGATCTTATTTTTTCTTGGAACTGCTACATATCGATTTCATGCTACTAGTCACAAGGGGAGCCCCCTTCAGAGACTTGGTTGGGTGTTGATGAATGCAGCTAGGAATTGGAGAAATTCCTCTTCTGCAAAATACATGGAAGAGGGCAACCAGAAGATTGTGCCTTTTCTTGGTTCTCAAGAATTCAAGTGAGTGATTCTTTTCTTCTGTACTTTTAGCTTCTGAGAATCAGTATTCTTTAACCATAAGGGTCTTTCTGAAAGACTGCCACATGTATTGATAAATCCATGTGTTTCTTTATGGTAGGAATCTATCTACTTTCTTGAAAGAATAAAAGATCTCCTTTATGTATATGCCTTAGGTTTCAGAACAATTCTTTGGTCGTATCTGACGATTCCATGGAAGAAAGGGAAGATTGTAATATAAAGAAGATTGAAGAGGCAAAGGCAATTCTTAGGCTATTTCCAATATTGGTGACATGTATGATTTATGGAATCGTGTGTTCACAATCGTCCACTTTGTTTATCAAGCAAGGAGCAACAATGGACAGATCTATTGGTGCAACCTTTGAAGTACCAGCTGCTTCTCTACAATCATTCATTTCTCTGTCAGTAGTCGTCTTTGTCGCTATCTATGACTGTATTTTGGTTCCTCTCGCAAGAGCTGTTACCGGAAAACCATCAGGTTTAACTGTGCTACAGAGAATCGGAGCTGGACTGTTTATATCAATCCTCAACATGGTCACAGCTGCTTTAGTTGAAACCAAGCGTCTTCGAACTGCTCAAATGTACGGGCTGGTTGAGAAGCCAGAGGCAACAGTTCCTATGAGTGTGCTATGGTTGATACCACAATACATGTTGTTGGGAGTTTCTGAAGTATTTGCTATGGTTGGTCTGCAAGAGTTTTCCTACGATGAGATGCCAGCCGAATTGAAAAGCACTGGTCTTTCTCTTTATCTTTGTGTCTTTGGAATAGGGAGCTTTATTAGCAGCTTTCTCATCTCTGTTATTGAGAAGATCACTAGCAGAGACGGAGGCAATAGTTGGTTCTCCGACAACTTGAATCAGGCACACCTTGATTATTTTTACTTGCTGCTAGCTGGACTAAGTGCTGCAGCATTTACAGGATTTCTGTTTGCCGCGAAGTCTTACGTGTATAATGCGTCTCAGACCTAGCGAACACCAAGCTGAAAGGCAATTGAAGGTTTCCTCAAAGCAGAGTTTACTGAACTGTTGATTGAATGGCCATCACAGAGAAAAGTAAAGTTCCATCGTCAAACACGCCAAGTGCAGTTATAAAGATCCTTAATTCACAGGATCAAGGCATTAGGGGGCTCTCAAGAGTATGGTGTAATCTGTAAATGGTCAAGTCGATCTCTGCCAAAATTATCTATGTTCTATAAATGCAAAATACCATAAGATTTGTTTCTTCATAACCAGAGCAACACCAGTGTTTTTCAAATTACTCAGGCACCTGATGATAGAAAAATTCTTCCAAACCAACGAATGCAAATGACTCAGAAATGCCAAATAGCAAAAACTGGGAGGTATCAACCAAGCCACATTCGTGGGAACTATCTAATTCGGCTTGTCAGCTAAACCAAATGCTTTAGCGGTTACAAGGCGGTTCTTTTCTATCACAGCAGCAACAGCCATGGAAAGAAATGAAATAAAATACCCAATCTCATTTCGTTGTCCTACCTGTCTTCCGGTTATGGAACGTTCCAGGGGAACCACATCACGGTCATAGATGATGGGCATAAAGATGATTACGGTGATGTTAACAAGACATTGTGAAGAAGCGGCTGGCGTGTCAAACGTTGGACTGATTGATCTGTCCATTGTAATCCTTGCTTGACAATGAAAGTAGTTGACTTTGAATGGGAAATAACCTCTTGGCTGCCTTAGTCTCTTCGAACTCACTGCTGTTACATACTTTCTCATTCTCATTTGAACCAGTAGACGGTACCAATTTGATTACGGTTTGATTACATATGTGGGTTTCTCTATGAAGGGGGTGCATAAGAAAAACCATAATATTTGACCAACGTGATCTGCATCACAGCATGTTTAGATGGATAATCATGTAGTATTTCCTTGTAAAGTTACCAGAGTCTGGAGAGGAATTAGTAAACCTGAAGGTTATAAAATATGTTGATGGATCGAATTGCAGCATTCTGTGTTAAGACTTTGTTGTTCGAGCCTGAAAGGCCACTATAAAACTCAGAATAAAACCAAGGATATGTACTTCAGATTTGCAAATTTGAGTTATAAGAAAAACTGGAATATTTGACCAACGTGATCTGCATGTTTAGAGCACTAATCATTTATGTAACGTAGACACGAAAGCGACCAAAAGTCAACTACTTACAGCTCATTGCTGAATATTTTTATACACCATGATGCCTTTGATGGATTACTGAATGAATTGTTTTTAATTACGAAAAGAAGTTCAACGCTGAAAAGTAATGCAGAAGCTAAAACAAACAAGGAAAGAGAACAAGAAACATATAGATGTGTTAAATTTTAGCCATGTCTGCTGCTACTGCTAATGCCTCTGCCACCATTTCAGAGGCCACCGTTGAGACTCACTTGTTATCAGGCAAGGATTTAGTGGAAGGAAATGTTGACTACAGAGGCCAGCCCGCGAAGCGAGTCAAATCCGGTAGATGGAGATCTGCATGTTTCATCATTGGTAATTTCACTTCATTCTTGCCAATTCTAATTTGCAGCTGATTTTGACTGTAGTTGTTTCCTATCTCTACTTGTAAAACATATGATGCGACTTTTTTTTGGCCCTTTTGAAGGGGTGGAGATGGCAGAGAGATTTGCATTTAATGGTGTAGGTGCTAATTTGATTACTTATTTGACTGGCCCGCTCGGCCAGTCCACTTCCACGGCAGCGGAGAATGTGAATACCTGGTCAGGTACGGCACACCTCCTCCCACTTTTTGGTGCTTTTGTTGGTGACTCCTTGCTTGGCCGTTACCGTACAATTGTTCTAGCTTCTCTACTCTATATTCTGGTAAGTAGTAATTTTACCCTGTGCCTTATGTTGTTCACTTACTGTAACCATTGAGATGGATCATAGATGAAACTAGAAAGAAATTACAAACCTTTGAGCTTAACTTTAGGAAAGAAAGACGGTAAAGTTCAATGAAAAATTGAACAATTCTTCAATTTGGAAGGAAAGGAGTTCAATCTTTATTTAATGTTTTAGAGAGTTCGGCAATTTAGGTTAGTATTACTGTGAATCATTTTTCTAATGTTGATTCACATGGATCATATATAGGCGCTCGGGCTCTTGACACTCACAGCTGTCTTGCCCTCCGAGTGTCAGGATGTGTCAAAACTCGGGGACTGTTCTCCTCATCAGCTGCAAATTGTCATCTTTTTCGTTTCATTGTATTTGTTTGCTATGGCCCAAGGGATGCACAAACCATGTGTCCAGGCTTTTGGAGCAGATCAGTTCGATGAAAAAGATCCAGAAGAAGCTAAAGCCAAAAGCTCATTCTTCAACTGGTGGTATTTTTCATTATGCGTGGCCGTTCTGGTCACATTAGTAATTCTAACCTACATTCAAGAAAATCTTAGCTGGGGTCTTGGATTTGGAATTCCTTGCATTGTCATGGGTTTTGCAGTAATCTTGTTTTTATCTGGTACCATGACTTACCGCTTTCGTGTTAATAGTGACAAGAGGGACCCCTTTCTGAGAATCGGGTTTGTATTTGTAAAAGCAGCCAGAAATTGGAGAAACTTCACTTCTTCCATATGCATGGAGGAGGATGGTCAGAGGGCTCTTCCTAATTTAGGTTCTCAACAATTCGAGTGAGTAATGATGTTTTTTATGTGGTTTAAGCTTTTGAGTACCCTGGCAACTCTAGACAGTGGTTGATATTTAACTTCTCTTAATGTCATGATTCAAATAATTTCAGTATGGATAGGCAGGTCTAATCATAAAACAGCTCCCGGTAAAATACACCTGAACCTATAAACACAGTTGATCCCATCTTTTTTGTAATTTTGATAGGTTTCTGAACAAAGCATTGGCAGTATCTGATGGTTCAGAGGAAGGTTCGGAGGTTTCTGATATCAGCGAGGTTGAAGAAGCAAAGACAGTTCTTAGGCTACTTCCAATACTGACAACATGTTTGGTCTATGGAATCGTATATTCGCAGTCATCCACTTTATGTACCAAGCAAGGAGTTACAATGGATCGATCCATCACTCCAAGTTTTCAAGTACCAGCTGCTTCTCTGCAATCATTTATTGTCATCTCAATCATCGTCTTTATCACTGTCTATGATCAAATCATTGTTCCTGTTGCAAGATACATTACCGGAAAACCATCAGGTATAACGACGCTTCAGAGAATTGGCACTGGACTGTTTATCTCAATCCTCACCATGATCACAGCTGCTCTCGTTGAAAGCAAGCGTCTTGAAATTGCTAGGAAGTATGGACTGGTAGATAAACCCAACGCAACAGTTCCTATGAGCGTGATTTGGTTGGTACCGCAATACACATTGTTGGGAGTTTCTGAAGTATTTACGATGGTTGGTTTGCAAGAATTTTTCTACAATGAGATGCCCGCTGAATTGAAAAGCACAGGTCTGGCCCTGTACCTCAGTATACTCGGAGTAGGAGGCTTTCTTAGCAGCTTTCTAATCTCTATGATTGATAAAGCCACTGGTGGAGATGGACATGACAGTTGGATTTCTGATAACTTGAATAAGGGACACCTTGATTACTTTTATTGGCTGCTAGCAATCCTAAGTGCTGTGGCATTTTTTGCTTTCTTGTTCACTGCAAAGTCGTACATCTACAATCGAGTTCACACCTAGTAAAAGCTCCAAACGAAAAGACTGTTGAAGTCTCTCTTTCTATATACAGAAAACAGGAAGTAATTTTGTTTACTGAAGGTCTGATTGATCTGCATGCATTTAGGAACACTTTGGATAGCAAGAAAGGTATGATTTTTGTCGTTTTAATCAATTTCGCCATAGATCTTCTAGCTCCAGAGGAGATAAGGAGATAATGCTGCTACTTATATTTGGCGCTTCTGATTTATTTGATGAATCACGCATTGGGATTCACTTGTTTCTCACTTCTCAGCTAAGTTACTGAGGTCTCTGGGATGTGGAGTAAAGCTGTGCACAGAGTTGAACGATTTCTTTTTTTAGAGTTAAAAAGATTTAAGAATATGGAGAATTGTTGCTAGTATATAGAGAATTTGTTGTAGGATCATACAGTATAACTAAGGCTCTTTGGCCTAAATATTGCTATTAACTGATCCTAACCAATTTGTTGGGGGATCCCTTAGAGATGATGAGCCCAAGTTTTTTTGTGAACCACAAACAAGATTAAGAAAAAGAAAATTTTCAGTCAATAATCAATGCTGTGGATGTATCAAAATATTGTACTAGTTTCGTTCCAGGCCTGGACGTTTACGAATTATGGACTGCCTGCCTGGTCACCCTTTTTCTTGCTTTTTAATTCACTTCACTTTTTTTTTTTTTTTTTGGTATATTACGCACCCGGTGTCCGAAGTCATGGCTCTGACTAATCCGGATTCGCATCTAATGCTTTACTAATCTTCTAATTTACAAGATTCAAACATTGTGACATTCATCAATGAGTTTTCCACCTCTGAGCATCAGGGTGCTGGAATTCATTCCGCCAAGCTCCGGAAATCCCCTGTTTACCTTTCGATTTCTGGTCTTTCAGCTGATAATTAGTACGGGTTTGATGATTTAGCAAGGTAATCTCTCACTACATGCACATACTTTCTCAATTGGAAAGCAACAAAATTGAACTAAACTACCTGCATTTTTTTTACTTCAGGCCTTGTTATTACTACTATATAAAAAGCATTAGATGCCAATGAAAAAAAGGGGAAGATTGTTCTGTGTGAAAGTGAAGGCGAAGGCGATTCAGGACAAAGGGCGCTTGAGAAGCAATCAAAGGGCAAACCCAGTTTCTTGTTCTACTTCATTGGTTGCTATAAAGTGGCAAGATTTCAACTCATATTATCTCTTACATGAATTCAACCAGGTAATTATCAGGAGGATTAATAATTTGGTTTTGGACAAAAACCAAATGAGAGTATGAAAACAAAATCTCAATACTAATAATGCAAATTCAAAACAGGAATCCTGTGGCAACAATTTTCACCAACCAAAGTTTTATCAGGTTATTACACGCCAGCACCATGGATCTGTTGCATGGTTTCCAGGGAAAGGGCCCTTTCGTGGCAATGATTACATTGTCAAGGTAAAACTACTTAATGCCTTGAACATTATTTGTATTAGGAATAATAATCAGTATGCTGATCAATCAAGAACCGCGAAAATTGAATTCAACCCGTTTTCACTTCTGTTACTAATTTAGTAAGGTTGCAATTTGATGCAGCCTGATGTTGTAGCACCAGGAGTTGGTATTCTGTCAGCTTGGCCCTCACAATGAAACCGACATTGCCTTCAATGAACTCATCGGTACTTCAACAATACATCTCACCAAAAAAAATAAATCGCAATCTTTTGAAACTAATTTTATAGATTATCTCCATCTGAAGACACCCATAAATTATGGTTTTGGGAATCAGGCAAATCTATACCCATTTTTGGGGGCTGGAGAAGTAACCCTGTTTGATCCATTACAGCCAGGGTTAGTTTACAAGAAGTATCCGATCCGATCATTTGATTTTCCTCTGAAACTGGGGATACAATGCCATCTACTGTAAAACTCATCTCATCAAACCTTGCCGCGAAATTTTCTTGTCCGAGTTCTAAGGCAGAACTGATCTCTAACATGAACTTCCCATCAATCATCATCATTCAATCCCAAGATCATGAGTACCAGACAGTTAAAAGGACCGCGGAAAATGTTGGAGACCAAGAGTCAGTTTATATACAGTTAATATCATGTGAAGTACTGTTTTCATAGGTCTGTACCGTTACCGGTTAGGTGACGCTGTGAAGGTAAAAGGGTTCCACAATACAACCCCGGAACTCCAATTTGTTTGTAAGGAGTAACCTTCTGATCTTATCAATCAACGTAGACAAGAACACAGTTGAAAGACCTACAGATATCAGTTGAAGCCGGGGGAAAAAATATTTATCCGGAGAAAAAAACAAAGAACCGGAATTGATTTCACCAGCTCTGTTGATTCGTCCGCTGATCTTTCTAGCCCATTACGCCATTTACTGGGAAATAAGTGACGAAACAAGCCACAAAAAGAAGTCCTACAAGAATGCGCCAACTGCCTAGACAAGTCGTTTCACAATTCCGCATTGTGAAACGACCTTGTATAACCAATTCCCGCATTCTTTTCAGGACATCTCCCTTTGCCACTCATTTCCTGTAAAACCACGTATTTAAGATAGATCAGTGGATGAAACGACAGTGCTGGAGGGAATCAAACCACTCATTTCCCTCCGGCTTCTACTGAGCGCTGAAAGGTCTTTCTGGGCGTTCCTGTTCGATGTTGATTGACCGGAAAAAAAGTTCCTCCGAACAAACGAACTGTAGTGCCGGAGTTGCATTCTGAAAGCCATTTCTTCAACCTTCAAATAGCCTCCCACCATTTACTTGTACAATCTTCTTCAGGATTTTTTCTTTCGAACCCATTGAAAAAGAAGAGCTGAAATAGGGAAGTTAATGGAGGAATATCCTTGAAAACCTAACTAGTGAGGAGAATGAATAATCCTTAACTCCAAACTCATGCTATTTATAAGCAGCGGAGCTGAATCACATAAACATAAGTTCACATCATCAGATAATGTTTACATGATTCTCCTATTATTATCATTATAATTTTTGGTTTCTATAACTTGCATGTAAAAACTAGTACTATTTGCTCTGTTTAGTTAGTTTTTTTATGGTTTTTTCATATTTTATTATTATTATTTGTCCCATCCCAATATATCTTTTTACATTTTCAATGCACCTTTTTACATTCCCAATACAAAAAACACCAAAAAACACACACTAAAAAAACAATCCAAACATATTATACCTTTCAAATAAAGCTTCTTTTTTTCCCATTACTATTCAAAAATTCAGGAATTTTTTGCCGCTTAGCTTAAAGTTAAAAAGGATGTTTTCCTCCTTTGGTATTGTAGAGAGAGCATAACAGCTAGAGCCTACAAATGCTTTTTTCACAGGTACTATTGGTCGGCCTTTCAAATTTTTTACAAGAGACTCTGCAACTGTTAATCTGTACTTAGTTTCTAGCTATTAAAGGTGAAGAAATATATCTTATTAGGGTTTCATCATTGCCTACAAAAAAAGCACGTTTCGTTTCAATAACTTTTCAATTAATGGTTGTCTTAATGTTTCCTCACGCGCACATATGCAAAATGTTAAACGTGACTTAATATGAGAAACATTAGACATAAGTTTCATCTCGTGCCAGGTGTTTTCTCAGTAAATCAATGAAATTTATTTCAGATCAAAATGTGACAACCAAAAGTTGTTGATTTACAACACATAAAAATAGCATTTTTTTTAAAAAAAAAGAAATTCTTCCATCATTTTCCAAAGGTCTAATTAATTAACCTTTTGATTACAATCCCCCATCCTATAATCCCCACCTCTTTTAAAAAATAAAAGCTTGTATTTTGAACATAAAGGATGAGTTTTGTAACTATTTTATGCGAAACATGTGTATTACTTTTACTTAATCAAAATATAGATGAATAATGTACTCCCTCCGTCCCATAATTATTGTCCAGTTTTACTAAAATGAAAGATTTTATTTTTTGTCAAACGTAACTATATTTTACCTTAAACAACCGGATATACTCCTACATAAGTAATTGTTTAACCACTAAGATTTTATGAATAATGTTTTTTACTAAGGACAAATGTGTAACTTGATCCATAAAAAGTCAAATTAGACAATAATTTTGGACAAAGTGGACAATAATTATGGGACAGAGGGAGTAAAACAAATGGGAAGTAGTCTGAAATGTAAGTTCTGGATAGATCATGGAGCTTTCCTTGGACAATAATTCCACACACCCCACCCACGTTCAACATGTATAAAATGATATATGTTAGTTGTTTTTGGCCATTTTCACTTTGATTTGTCTACCCAACCAAAGGAAATAATCGACGTTTGTCGTTCTAGTCTTTTCAATACCATTTTGAACCAACGCAAAATGAAATTGCACGAAAGAAAATGTCATTTTTGGTGTGCATTTCTAGGAGAGTATCAAATCATTCAGATCATAGAGCATCCGTATGGATTAAAACAAATTCGAAAGTGCTCTTCTGGATGGAATTAAACTCTACTTCGAAAATTTTAGCTAGGAGATGTTTCTGCAAAATCCATTCTTGGGTATCAACATCTTTGTTGCATTTTTTTCATGAATATTAGTCATCCTCGTCAAATTGTAGATAATTTGAGGTACGTGTGAAACAATCGACTAAAAATTTTAAAATTGTTACATAGTATTATCAATGTCTCAAAATTATTGTTCATTTTAAATTGAAAATAAAAATTTAAACTGAATAATAATTTCGGGATGAAGGGAATAATTATTACTGAATTTGAACTATCAATCGCTAGTGAAAGATAGATGAATCCTTATCATTCAACTACAAGTACCTATGGACTATAGTTATCATAGTGATATCACACTGTAAAATTTCCCCAAACAATTGTTTGAGCTCTTTCAAACTTCTTGCTACTTATGCGGGTTTCAACGAAAAAATAAAAGTTAATTACGGAGGAAAGAATATATGCCGATTTGCAAATCTCCGGATTTTCCTTTCGGATAATAATAGTGTTGCCTTTGCCAGTCACGAATTTAAGTTCAACTAAAATGGGAAACTTATA